CCCTCCGTTACGTAGGGAGGAAAGGGAGTCCACCTGGGCTACACAATCCCGTGTCGAGTCATAGTCATCTGGCATGTGTCTAGCATGTCTGGCTGTCTGGAAAATTTCCGGAAGCAAATCAAACACTTTCCTTCTCATGGTCTGATCACAAAAATGTCGGAAACGGAAAAATATTTAGGGCCTACTTTTTATTCCTGCCATCTTCAGTCTCAGATCTTGCCTTCAATATGTCCAGAATGTAGGAAATACGGCGAAGACTGCTTTGAACGCTGACGCATGCACAGACAGTCTCACAGTCATGACAGTAGTCTAGTCACAGTCGTCAGAAAGTTCGGACTTCAGAGCTGGAGCGCAGCAGGGTGACCGTAAGGTCATGGCCAGATTCTGCTAAATGGACTTCAAAAATCTGTCAGATTGATCAAAAATCTGCCAAATTCCCAAGAATTACTCAAAATACACTATAAACACTTAAAATCACATGCAGCTGTTGTAGTATTGCCTTAATTAAGGTTCAAATTAATTATAAACAAAAATTTTAGACAAAACACTAGTTGCATCACAATGAATTAGTCTGGTTCCCAGTGAACCTCGGCACCTACATGTACACCAGCCAAGCTGTCCCATTTATGCAAGGGTTTGTTTGAAAAGATTTGAGCTTTGTTAAACAAATGTACCAATGTTTTTTTTTCAAATTTGCTATGTTTTTCTGTCAAATAACCATTTTCGCAGAATTCTGCCAGAAATCTGCCAAAAAAATCCATTCTGTCAAATTTTCTGTCAAACTCGTTTTTCAACAAAAAAATCTATCAAAGTTAGCCGAAAATCGGCTAAAACGGTCACCATGCTTCGCAGACGTCACCAGGGTGACCGTAAGATCGTGACCAAATTCTGCTGAATACAATTCAAAAATATGTCAGATTCAACAAAAATCTGCCAAATATACTTAACTCAGAATGACTCGAAATACACTATAAACACTTAAAAGAACATGTAGATGTTAGGCCAAAAAATAAAAAATATTCGGTCTCTGGTCAGACCAAAGTTCCGGAATTGACGCGGCCACGCGGCTTTTTTTTTTGGGGGGGGGGCTTTTTTTTTTTTCTTCAAGCTTGGATTGTACAGACAAGGTGGGTACTATTTTGCTTTTTTGGTGTCCTCGTGTACATTGGTGTCCTCCATAAGGCCCCCCCCCCCAAAAAAGTCTCCGGTTTCTGGTATGGAGCTTGCCCCAAAAGTGGTGCGGCGACGCGGCTTTTTTTTTTTTTTACCTGATTTTTTTTTTTTTTTGGCTTCAAATGTCGGCTGATGACTGCAAATGGTGTCCGACTAAACTTAGTGCAAATATATGGGAGTCCAGAGAGGCCACATAAAGCTTATTCTCGATCATAACCCCATCTAAAAACACGTTAAAATTGTGCAGCAGCAGAATTCCAGTCAAACCAGTGAGTTTGGCGGTTTTGAGACATCATCTTTTATTGAAAAAAAATAAATTTCATTTTGCCGACGCGCATGGCCGGCTACGGCGACGCGCGCGCATACCAGAAACCTGAGACTTGTTTTTTTTTTGGCCTAATGCAAGTTTTTTTTTTTAAAGATTGAAGCTTTTTTAAACAAATGTACCATTTCTCTTAAAATTTGCTGTTTTTCTGTCAAATGTCCAAATTTGCCCCCCAAAAAATCAATTCTGTCGAATTTTCTGCCAAACTCTTTTTTAACAAACAAATCTGTCCAAGTAAGCCGAAAATCAGCTACAACGAGCCCGGGTTGCGACGACTTGAATCAAGGTTATAGAATTGTATGGAACGCCAAAGAGGCATTTAATGTGATCATCGAATCGGTGAAGCACTTTTGCAATCGGTGATGCATATTCATTATCGGTGAGGGACTTCTGCGACCGGTGTAGCATGAATTAAGGTTTTATGAAATACGGACTCCTTGGTGGTATTACGCATGCTCATGCATAGATAATTAGGAGAGGGACCGGTCACGTGAGAGGGTTTAACCAATAAAAGGGAAAAAGAGTCCGATTTTCATACGAGTCCGATTTTCATATGACACCGGTGATCAACTTTTACTGGTGATGCATATTCACGAGCGGTGATGGACTTTCGTGATCGGTGAAGGGCTTCGCGATCGGTGATGGACATTTGCAATCGGTGATGGACTTTCGCGATCGGTGATGGACTTTCGTATGGCGAGCCAAAGTAACATAGTATTAACAAAGTCTTAAAACAATTTAAAGATAACTCTAAATATTTAGAGATATCTCTAAATGATTTAGAGATATCTCTAAATGGATTTAATTCATTTAGAGATATCTCTTAATGGATTTAGAGATATCTCTAAATGAATTAGAGATATCTCTAATTCATTGAGAGATATCTCTAAATCATTTAGAGATATCTCTAAATTGTGTGTTAAATAATGAGACACCTACTTTGTGCATTCCAAGATTTAAAGATATATATCTTTAAATATTTAGAGATATGTCTAAATCGGTTACGGCTCCGTTGAACCACTAAATACATGCTTAGTTTGCACGCACCGTAAGTCAATCATGTTGCCATATCGAATGCACGATAAAATCGCCGGTGCTGTATTTCAAGTATTGCATTTGAAGTGAGTGGTGTTGCCATTTTTAAAGTCATTGTCGAGGTCGTCAATCAAATAATTGTATTTACTGAAGCCCGTTTTACCAACATTTTAACAATAAATAGCCCAATGCTGCGCAAATTAAAACACGATTTAAAGATCTCGAAATGATTAGAGATATCTCTAAAACATGTAGAGATATCTTTAAATGATTTAAAGATATCTTTTAGTACATAACAGACATCGTCGATAGCACTAAATTGTTTTAATGACTTTGCTAATGCTATATAAATGTTACTTTGGCTCGCCATAGTATGAAATTGTATTATAAGACGTCATTGTGACCGGTGTGTTTAAAGCAATCGTTGATGCCAACATTTAGAGATATTTCTAAATGATTTAGAGATATCTTTAAATGATATAAAGATATCTCTAAATGAATTAGAGATATCTCTAAATGATATAAAGATATCTTTAAATCATTGACAATAAAGCTCTTTCGTGTGTCACTTATTTATCAAAATAATTTGTCTTTTAAACGATTGGGAGAAATCTTTATGTATTAAGAGATATATGATTTAGAGATATCTCTAAATATTTAGAGATATCTCTTAATCATTTAGAGATATTTTAAAATTAATTTAAGACTTTGCTAATAAGGGAATAAATGTGTGCTCGAGAGGTTTTAATCACTCTGTTTAAGACTGCTTAGAGTCTGGGTGCAGGAGGCCGGAGGCGAGGGTAATTATCAGCAACCAGACTCTAAGCAGTCTTAAACAGAGTGATTAATACCGACCGAGCACATATTTATTCCCATTCATAAATACCTTTTCGGTAAAAAAAAAAATCAAGTAATTCGTTTAAAAAATCCCGATTTTGATCAACAAGTTCACTCCAGCTTTTTGAAACATCCCTCTAGCAAAATAATGGAGTGTTCAGCTGGCGAGTAAGATGTAAACAACCCTTTTATGGAGATTGACGCGCGCGTAGCACGTTCTGCGCGATGTCGCGCAGAACGCACCTGGGGCGTTGCGTTTTGAATTTAGAACTATAAAATTCGGACTCACAAGTAGTGTTGCGCATGCCTACGTGAGCATTGTGAACGTTCAACCAATGAAACGGTAAGAGGCACTGGATTTTTAGGAGTCCACATTTTATGTGACACTGGAAAAGTGTTTAAGACCAGCTAGCCATGTCTTTATCATCCGTTTTAAGACCGGCCACGTGACGGGCTCTCGACCAATAGGAATGGCTAAACTGTCTGAGGTATTTATGAATGCTATATAAATGTTACTTTGGCTCGCCATAAAAAAAACCTTCGCTCGTCCCCCTGCCCTGTTTGTATGGGCGGCCATTAGGGCAAAAAAAGACAAAAATAAAAATAAAACAAAACCACAAAATTAACGAATACAACTCAAAAATAAACAAACAACTCAAAAATAAACGAACAACTCAGAACTAAACGAATTTAACTCAAAAATAAACAAACAACTCAGAAATAAACGAACTACTCAGAAATAAACGAATATAACTCAAAAATAAACCAACAACTAAAAAATAAACCAACAACTCAAAAATAAACCAACAACTCAAAAATAAACCAACATCTCAAAAACAAAACTAACAACTCAGAAATAAACCAACAACTCAAAACTAAACAATCAACTCAGAGTTAAACGATCAACTCAGAATCAAACGATCAACTCAGAAATAAACGATCAACTCAGAAATATACACGAACTCAGAAATAAACAAACGTACGAGCGAATTCCGTAGCCTTGCACTTTGGAATGAGAGCGATAGAAAAAGGCCGGGAACCAGTCCATCGTCAAGGAAACAAGGACGCAAAAGCCGCGGCCCCCGCCGGCGCTCGCGCGCGATGTTGGCATCATGTATCATATTGTTGTGACCATTTTAGCCGATTTTCGGCTAACTTTGACTTTTTTTTGTTAAAAAAACGACTTTGACAGAGAATTTGACAGAATGGAATTTTATTGGCAGATTTCTGGCAGAATTCTGCAAAGATGGTTATTTGACCGAAAAACATAGCAAATTTGAAAAGAAGGTAGATTTGTTTTTAAAAAGCTTCAATCTTTTTAAACAAACCATTGCAAAATAGGACAGGTTGCCATGTCGATGTGCTGAGGTTCACTGGGAATCGGATTTTGTCGTGACAAAATTTAAAGCAATTTCATAACCCCTTTATATATGACTATATATTGTTTATAATTTGATTTGAACCTTAATTAAGGCTATATTACAACATCTGCATGTGATTTTAACTGTTTATAGTGTATTTTTAGTAATTAAATTCATGGGAATTTGGCAGATTTTTGATAAATCTGACAGATTTGTGAAGCGCATTTAGCAGAATTTGGCCACGAGCTTACGGTCACCCTGGTTGGTATGTTGCGCACATAACATGCATTTATATGCAGATGTCAATGATGCAAACCTCGAGCTGGCAGGCTTTGCTGGCCCTGCATCCTACTTTTGTAAATTAATTGACGATTTCGATGTTGTCATTGCATAGCCTTATGCTGTTGATGTTACCGTAACTATACTGGTTAAGTACTGTTCGTCTTCCAAGAGCAATACGCGAGCGAGTTTGAGCAGATGAATTAAGTCAACATCAGGTAGGCCTGCTAGTGCCACGGTAGCCCCATAAATGTGGCCTATTTACTGGACTGCCTCCGTAAACATAGGCCACACATCCACATGTACAAAAATCGTGTCGACGGAGCCAAATTTTGATTTTCACATTTAGGCTTAGTTTGTATGTTTTTTTTGCTTTAGAAGCATACTCACCCTCTTTATAGGCTAATCAGAAAGTGCTGCCTTTTTCAGATGTATATTTTTCGTGAAATTTCCAGATTCATTTTTACACGTTTGCGTATCAAAATTTCAACATGAAATTTCACAAAAATTAGACATCTGAAAATAGCAGCACTTTCTGATTAGCCTGTAAAGAGGGTGAGTATGCTTCTAAAGCAAAAAAAACCATACAAACTAAGCCTAAATGTGAAAATCAAAATTTGGCTCCGTCGACACGATTTTTGTACATGTGGATGTGTGGCCTATGTTTACGGAGGCAGTCCAGTAAATAGGCCACATTTATGGGGCTAGTGCCACGGAAGCTTGAATTGCCTTCCGCGATACTGCGTTATACCTAGCTGGAGTTACCCAGCCCTGAGTTTTATCATTGGATTGTCATCTAGGGCTGGAGCGTATTTTTCTCGTAACTTGTAGTAACTAGTATATTCAAAAAAATTTGGAAAATGTTCAATTTTGTCCCCGTTACACACTAATTGCAACTGCAACTCACCCCAAACTTGCCTGGAATAACCATTACACAGGTCCTTGAAGTAAAAAACGATCCACGATGAAGATTCAGCCTACAATTGCAGTGAAAACAGGAGGAATAACCGCTAACTTGACAACCTTGTTGGATTGGCCAGGACCGCAATTGGTTTGTGCACAAAAAAAATTGTGTACAATGAATGGCGGTCGATTAACAATAACACTAACAGGCACAGAGAGCGATCGCTGTCAACTACTCGGTTTTGCCGGCTGCGCTGGCTGTTGGCGCATGACGTCACGCGGAAGCGTAACACCCGATGACTGTTTCATGCACTAATATAAGGTTTACCACTCGCATCACAGCTTTGGTACTGGAACCGCAACCAATAGTGCATGAAACAGTCATCGGGTCATACGCTTCCGCGTGACGTCATGCGCCAACAGCCAGCGCAGCCGGCAAAACCGAGTACAGTCATTTTCCTAGTTCCGGATAGCAAACATCATTCAGGCTGCTTTCGGCTCAACTACTCCACGAATTCAAGTGACATTGGTTTAAAAGTTTACCTTGAGTGATGGAGATACTACAAAATAATTTTCAAAATTTCAGCTCTTTTTGTTGTGACTTTACGACGTCAAAAGTACCGATGCCGCTTTTCCTAGTTCCGGATCGGTTTAATCAGTTCCGAATCGATCAAAAACTGATTCGCGCGAAAAAAAAATCACGCGAGAAAATCAAGTTTTCAGCCAGAACCACCCCAAATCAAGCACATTTTCTGATTAAGTATTATTTAATTTTCCCAAAATAGTTAATTCAAGAGAATTCCAGCAAATTTTCAAAAGAGAATTAACGTAAATAATGTTGAAACTTTTGTCTGCAGCGCAACGGCACGAACTCACGCACGGAACAAAAACCTTGCATACGGCACAGAATACGTCACACAAAATTGATTAACGCGCGTGTAGTTGGGTCGTAAGTGCACGCGCGATCCGGAACTAGGCAAAAGCATACGGTCATTCGTTTGCAAATTTTCAAATAATAGAGACGCTACAACTTATTTTGATTGAACAAACATTCGATGGAAGAGTTTATACGATTGTAGTGAATGAAAAAAATATTCGAAACCACACGGTACGAGAGATATACCGAGGAGAAAATTTATCGTCGATTCGCAGCTGCCGTGATTTTCTTTAAACCGTCCAAACATGTCGAAGTGCGAGTCGGAAATTTTCTAAGGATTTTATCGAAAACGATCTTTGGGTATCAAGAAGCTTACATATTCCTTTTCAAAATGCACTCCGTCAGAATTTGTTTTATTGGAGACTAATCCAAAAGAGGTAGGTTTTTATTTGAAGCGATCCGGAACTAGGAAAAATCCGGAACTAGGAAAACGACTGTAGTTGACAGCGATCGCTCTCTGTGCCTGTTAATCAACCGCCATTCATTGTACACAATTTTTTTTGTGCACAAACCAATTGCGGTCCTGGCCAATCCAGCAAGGTTGTCAAGTTAGCGGTTATTCCTCCTGTTTTCACTGCAATTGTAGGCTGAATCTTCATCGTGGATCGTTTTTTTTACTTCAAGGACCTGTGTAATGGTTATTCCAGGCAAGTTTGGGGTGAGTTGCAGTTGCAATTAGTGTGTAACGGGGACAAAATTGAACATTTTCCAAATTTTTTTGCCTATACTATCGTTTTCGAGAAAAACTCGCTCCAGCCCTAGATGACAACCCAATGATAAAACTCAGGGCTGGGTAACTCCAGCTAGTTACTGCGATAATTTATCACAGAAATCCGGAATTCAAAGATAATTCCTTCCTCGTTACCGATTTGTCTTTGAATTCCGGATTTCTGCGATAAGTTATCACGGTAACGCGGTATCGAGGAAGGATTTATCTTTGAATTCCAGATTTCTGTGATAAATTATCACGGTAACACGGTATCGCGGAAGGCAATTCAAGCTTCCGTAGCCTGCCGAGTAACTAGGACTCTAGCTTGAGTAACTCCAGCTGACATGCTCCATTTTCATTCACATGTAACGCTGGAGGCATAACCTGTTCGTTAGAATGTGGTAGCAAGAGACCTAGTCCGAGTAACTTGGACCCAACTTATCGCCTTTTTTAACATTTGGACATGGTCTGGCGATAGTGGGGTCCAAGCTAATACCGCGACCTGGACAACATCATCCTGTCACTGTCCCAAAAACCAACATTTTCCAACAAAAAACATCAGATTTCACCTCAAAACGGCCTCCAAATTACTAGATATGCCACCTGAGGTACAAGTACTCCTAGAACTATGAGGCTCCACGTAGTGGAGCCTCATAGTTTCAGAACCTCGCAAAATTGTTGTCAGCACAAAACACTAATTAAGTACAAAAACGTCCATCCCAACCAAGCTTTTTCCCACAGAACCGCTGCACAGTTTGCCCCTAAACTCCGTACAATACCTCATGACATACTCACGCTATGTGCACCCAACAAACATCGGTGGATTCTGTCTGTTTTTCGGCAAAAATGATGAAAAATATGCCCTCTCCGCACTGAGCCAACCTAACACTTGAAACGAGCACGCGCGCAGAAGGGGGGTACGTACTTGCACTTGTACGCATGCGCATACTATCGTTCCGCTCCTACACCATACCCCCCGCGGCGCGCTCCGAGCGATCGAACCGAAAATGACTGCGATCATTCTGCGCACGTGCTCGGAGAGAAATTAAAGGGAATCTGACAATAAGAAACATGGTCATAGTGGGAGGGCGTATTAAAAAAAAAAGAAGCTTTTGTTGGAAACTTGGTCTTGCCGATCTTGTTGTGGGTTTGAAAAGTTGGAACTTCAGGTTGATGGGGATTGTGATGACTAACATTAGTATGAAGGGGGGGGGGGTGCAGGGAAATATCTACTACTAAAGTTAGGCCCTAATAATAAAAAATAAAATTCAACTGTGAACAATTTGTGAATTTAAAACAAACAATTTATGGTACGCCTAACTTAAGGCCATGTCATATTTAAAAACCAAAAAAATTAAATTAAATTAAAAAAAGGTTGTTGTCATGCTAGAACTTGGTCTTGGAAATTGAAGTTGGGTTGACCCTTCCTTTTTTCCCGGTGGTGGGGGGTGGAGGGGTAGGGAAATTTCTGTTGCTGTTGCTTAAAATCTGTCATGTCTGCAAGAAAAAATAACACAGCAAGCATCAATGGCAATCATTTGAATTCTGTATATGTTTGAATGGAAGCACTTTGACCTTTAATCTTAAACCTTTGACCTCATGACATTTGACCTCATTACCTTTGACCTTTGAATTGACCTTTTGTTTATAAACTAGAAGCAATTTAAGGGTCAATAGCTGTGTGCAATTAACATGCTGATTTTTAATGTGACCTTTTAACCTCTGACCTCCGACAGTTTGACCTCTGGCCCTTTCTTGACCACCGACAAATTTCTCGCTAGACCGGACATGCCGGATCAATGGTCAAGTTACACAGTAAGACCAGTTCAAACTGAGCTAGGCTAAGATAAATGTTCCTGTTTAGGATTGTACTCTTAATTAATCTTATCACTTGTTATACTCACAATCAAACAATTACACACAGTAAGTCACAGTTTTTTATTATGTAATCAATGGCCTTCTCCTTTGACCTTTGACCTGTCTTAACTCCGATGTGCTTGACCCGATCCCAACAAATGAGGTGTCAAATTCAACGATTCAGAGAGCTCTATCCAATGAAATTATTTTAAAGTTGAATCTAAAAATATGTGAATGTACCTACTTAAAACAAACCCTTGCACAATGGCACAGAATATAAACTGGGTGATTTGGCAGACTTTCAAAGTGGATTTAGCAGAATTTTACATGGTATTACGGTCATCCTGCCATGTAAGACGGTTAGTCGGGTACCCACTGGTGATACTTCTTCGGTTTTGCGCATGCGGAACTCGGGGTACCAGAATGTCATGCCTGTCTTTGATTTTCTGATCATTTTGAAAACACTCGTTGTGACAAAGTTGTGCCGTACTTTACATCAAATTTCTTGGCAATGCCAGATCCAACACTCGCGTAAATTTACAGGAGGCCCAACAAGTAAGTGATTCACCTATTGGCAAAATTATACATAGTTTTATGTAGCGGATCAAAAGATAGAATGCTGTCGCTTGTATTTACCTGACGGAAGCGCGTGGCGTTGTATACAACGCCACGTTCACGGGTCTAAAAGAGACCCTAAAAAAATGGCCTCTCAAAAATTGTTCATTTTCACCTCTAATATCCCACCCCAGAGTTAATTTACATACCTCATACATTCAGCGGTCATTTACGAAGCCTAATGATCGACTTGAAAC